TCCGAATTTGTGTGTTTTGTGAACCGTGTGATTTGTTTTGTACCACCCATTGTTAGCGTTATTGCATTACACTATTAATAGATAAGAACGTCAGCTAAGTATGCACACATTAAATGGAAAAACGTTTGAAATCCATGCAATACAAAATAATTGAAACTACAATGTTTGAAAAAATTATCAGAAGGAATTGGTGTCAATCCTGAATTGTACATCGATCTTTAATATGGTGTTTATATAGCCTTATGTTGAGAAAAGATATCCGCATCCTGCCAGATAACTGTTAGGGACAGACTTTCATTTCGTAGAAACAACTTGATGTAGTTTGTATTGTAGGAAAGTGTTATAGAAACGAACCAACCTCTCCTGTATTTCATTTCAGAATATTTTATTGTAACAGATCTTAAGATGAAATCGGAATTTGGGCAACAGGTATAGCCAATACAAGCCTTTTGTATAGAAACGATTTCTTAAGGGGTTTTATACGGAATTCAGCTAAAACATCAAAAATAAATAACACAATTAATCAGACAAAGCCTATACAAGCCCTCTCCTGTATGACGTAAACATGAAGAAATCAACACGGATACGATTACTGGAGCTTAGCAGTTAGCATAAAAATCCGTGTTGTGATTTCCCTGTCTACATATCGCAGGTGTCATATATTTATTTATCTAGAACGGCACATCATAGAACAGCTGACATCCAAAAATGTACTTTGAAAAGAAAAAAATTCGGGCTACGTCTGAGTTAGCAGTACATTAGGATTCTCAGTCCCATATATATTTTAGTGTCGTGCCAATATAATTTCACAAACACTTTTTTACAAAAGCATTTCTAATCATTATGTCTTTTTTGTAGGGTTGTCAACGGTTAGTCGGTTAACCAGTGACTCAGTCGGAGGACCGCTAACCGAGTACCAAAATCAATAACAGAAAAGTCGGACATTTACTTCACCCCTTGATGAGCCCCGTATTTCCCTGGCTTAGACATATAAATGGTCTATAGATGCGACCAAAATCGGATATTTTTGTAATAAAAACAGTGTTCAAGGATAACATGTTAGTGTTGTTTTTGTAGTTTATTGTAAATACTGACAAAGAGATGTCGCCAACGCTATAAAATTATCAACAGATTTTAAACGGAAGCTAGAAAACAAAGCTGTGCAATATTAACTTTGAGGGATAGCACACGCTTTTACAAGCGAGATGTAAAGATAATCAGAACAGTACACACTGGAATGAGCAAGCATGTCTTAAAACGTTTGTCGATCAAATTTTGTTCTAAAGAACAATATCACTGCAAATGATTTCGAGTACAGATACCTGTAACTGAATCGCGCCTTACCGTATTCCGACATTTGTTGTCCATGATATATACTTACTGAGGTAATAACATGCAACTATTTCCTGCGTTTAGCTTGAAATACACGAGTAAAAATATCAGGCTTATTAATATATACATGTGTGTTTGTGGTGTAATTACGTTTTAGATAGAGCATTTTCTAAACATATAATGTGTTTGTTGCTGTTTATTATTCGATTACCAAAGTTACCGATTAACCGGTTACTCGCTCGGAAGATTGTTAGAGTAACCGGCTACCAACATATGACTGGTTTGACGACCCTACATTTTTTGTGATAATCTCTTTTTTACACCAGCACATTTAAATTTTCCCTTACATTTGCAATAAAAAATACAACACGTACCAGCAAAGGGACTTTATTATGAAAATAAGCATACACGCCTCTAATATTATTTTCCCTGTATATAGAAAATGAAATACCAATGAGAAATGACATAATGAAATACTCTGTAAAGGTGTTAACACTTCATATTTCAGTCTTGAATTATACAAACAGAGGGGAAGGGACACCAAAATCGATTTTTTTTTCAAACATTTATTTCGTAGGGAAGGACATCCAATAATTGATGATGGGTTTTAAAACAGATACCATACATGGATGCAATCGCCTTTATAAATAGGAAGCCAAGCTCACAAGGCACTTACGACTCGACTCCTACAGGCAAGTATACACTGCAAATGAACGATGGGAAACTGTCAATCCAAGGCATTGTCGTCAGTATATAAGTTGCCGAATCATTTTATGTGTACACTTTGATAGGCGATTAACTCAATTTACAGCTCTTCATCAATAGCATGGAACATTATTCCAGAAGTTGCATGACGACAAAAAAAAAAAAAAAAGATTCATTAAAGTATAACGTAGTGTCACATAACTTTGGTAGTTACACTTAAGGATAATTTTCATGTTTCCGTTGTTATATTTTTCTCCTTTATTGCAAATTCAATATAGTTTAACTTAGAAATTAGATTATAAGACACAAAATACAATAGAGAGAACCCTTCTGTTCGAAAAGCATATTTTATTGGCTCTCTCCTCTCCCCTCCCCGTCCCCAACAACTTATGAGTTTTAAGAAAATATAGTTCATTGTTGTACAGAGTTTGGGGTCATTAACTATGTGTACCCATACGATCTTGAGTACCTTGTTTCCCTCGTATATAACATTAACGTTAAACCTGCCGTAAAGTGTAACAGGATTCCCGGTGTCAGAATCTTTAACGCCACATCTAATCAAGGTATGTGTTTTCATGTGCCCTTCATTTTAACATTTTAAGTTGTTTTTATTCATTCAACCAATATTGGTACCTAACAGAGTATTTGATTCCCTCAAACAATAGAGGTAACAAAATATAACAGAATATTTAAGTCAATTCATGTATTAACATCGGTACATAAACATGTTAGATTTATCATATTAGTACAACAAACAAGTCTTAACTTATTGATTCTAAATAATGTGCTCATTTGAGTAGCACTGATGTCCTACTAGATACATTCAGCTGACTGAATAAAAAAAGAGAGTATGTGAATCAGAACTGCTACGAGTCGAATGTTGTCACATAACATTTTATATCACACTATTTTCTCAGACAGCAGTATTAGCATTACAACACAAGCAAACATGCTGTAGTCGTACGCTTTTTACAAGTGGGGAGGGGGACATTTTGGACGTTTAAACCAAACAAACATCTCTCAGATTTCACACGATTGTAAATTCCTATTGTGTTAAACTATCAATGATTGACAAAAAGAGATACAATATTATTATAATTACAGCTTTGCAATTCGTAGGAAATCTCACCAATTATGTGAGTGAGTATTCGTTTCCCAAAGGTGAGAAATACTACAATGTTTTAAAGAGGGGCAGTGGAAATCTAAATATCGCTTATACGTTGTTATTCGCGTAATCTTACACTGTTCCGGTTTTTCTTGGCCGGTCTTAAACACTAGGACAATTGACCTTTAATTATATATCAATCAATTGGAAAGATGCCAAGACAATCAATTCATTAAATTCAATTTAACTCAATTAACTAAAGTAAAGAGGCACCGGAGCGAGCTGATTACGTTTGTAATGATAGGGTACTACAACCCTACTTTTGGTCTAAGCCTGCCAATATCTGTTTAGGATAGTGTATATATATGCTGAAATAAATGTATTTGTACATGTACTTGTATGTGTGTGTAAGTTTGTATGAGGTGTGTGAGATATTATCTTCATGAGTTACTTCCCCTTAGCCTTGTGTAAATATGAATTATTTCAGTAGTGTTAATTTTTTCATTTGCAACATGTCTAAAATATTATGTCTCATTGTTTATTCCACTTTGGCCATTTGACGGAGAGAATTTATATAGGCTTTGCCTGTTATTCAATCCAATTGCCTATGACATCTTGTCAATAAAATTTGATGAAATGAAATGAAATGAAACCCTACCAATAGCACGATAACACATTACCTTACTATTTAGTACATATCTGTATGTCTAACGTGATCTCTGTAGGAAGAATGGTATTATACGTATAACGTACTCTGCATACACGTGGAACGTGGTTGACGAGATATTCAACCATTAACAGGGATTTTAGAGAGAAATGCAGTCCAGCTTACAAGTTAAGGTGTTGATGTGTTCAAATATCATAATGTTATTATCACACAACATTGTTTATAGAAGCCTATAAATAATATATAGAATATAATAATAATAATACAAGACATTAGGTAGCGATATATTTCACATCAATTCATACCTTAGATGGATTTGGTTTATTGGGATTGGCGTCATATTAACAGCTAAAGTCATTTAGGGACGTGCCTCCGTGTGTGTAATGTATTAATATGTACTGGAGGTAATATGTTGGTGCATTTACTTCCCCTACCTGCCTAACATACCCTGCCAAAACCACCCAGCCCAATATCATGTAATCCAGCTCAGTATCAAAATTTCTATAATATAATGAGTTCTTTAAAAGAAAAAGTCGACGCAAAAATAAATTCTGGAAAGTCAACATTACGAAAAGACATTTACAGTTGAGACATCAAAAAGATAAGTGTTTCAATCGCAATTATTTGGGTTAACTTTCCTAGCAACGCACAAGTGAATAATAAAAGAAACACATACAGACGGTTTGTACTTAAATAACTGGAGAATTCTGGGGGAACCAATATATTTCATGCAATTACAGAACAATACCTATTGTTTGTTTCTGTTTGGTATATTTATGACGAGCATTTTATATAGCTGTGTACTGATTCTATTTTTTCTGTGAACTTTCTACGTGCTGTAGTCTACTAGCACAAAACTGTTATCATAATTCACATTTAAAAACGTCCGTTTAAATGTTAAGATTTATTTGTTTCAGAAGTCAACATGAACACAAACGAATCCGGTGACGAGGTGGTAGTCAACCATGAGATAAAAGACATATACACGCCTGGACGGACCAAGGAAGAGGTCAGAGACAGCTACAACAGCTGGGCGGATACGTACGAAAGTGTAGGTCTTCGTGCTACTTCGGGCGGATACGTACGAAAGTGTAGGTCTTCGTGTTACCTCGGACGGATACGTACGAAAGTGTAGGTCTTCGTGCTAACTCGGGCGGATACGTACGAAAGTGTAGGTCTTCGTGCTACCTCGGGCGGATACGTACGAAAGTGTAGGTCTTCGTACTACCTCTGTTATCTGCATTATCAGATATTATCACGTGCACCACACCAGAATTACACGTGCAGTATTACGAACGATAGGTAGTGATGGGTGACGTTTTGGTTTTGAGTTTCGAATTGATACAATTGCCAGTTAGTATCCAAAAGTTCAAATATACTTATAAAATCTGTGCACGTACTTATTTTTTACAGCAGATACTGTGCACGTACTTATTTTATTAGCAGATACTGTGCACGTACTTATTTTATCAGCAGATACTGTGCACGTACTTATTTTATCAGCAGATACTGTGCACGTACTTATTTTATTAGCAGATACTGTGCACGTACTTATTTTATTAGCAGATACTGTGCACCTACTTATTTTATTAGCAGATACTGTGCACGTACTTATTTTATTAGCAGATACCTTGCACCTACTTATTTTATTAGCATATACTGTGCACGTACTTATTTTATTAGATACTGTGCAAGTACTTATTTTATTAGCAGATACTGTGCACGTACTTATTTTATTAGCAGATACTGTGCACGTTCTTATTTTATTAGCAGATACTGTGAACGTTCTTATTTTATTAGCAGATACCTTGCACCTACTTATTTCATTAGCAGATACTGTGCACGTTCTTATTTTATTAGCAGATACTGTGCACGTACTTATTTTATCAGCAGATACTGTGCACGTTCTTATTTTATTAGCAGATACTGTGCACGTTCTTATTTTATTAGCAGATACTGTGCACGTGCTTATTTTATCAGCAGATACTGTGCACGTAATTATTTTATCAGCAGATACTGTGCACGTACTTATTTTATTAGCAGATACTGTGAACGTACTTATTTTATTAGCAGATACCTTGCACCTACTTATTTTATTAGCAGATACTGTGCACGTTCTTATTTTATTAGCAGATACTGTGCACTACTTATTTTATTAGCAGATACTGTGCACCTACTTATTTTATTAGCAGATACTGTGCACCTACTTATTTTATTAGCAGATACTGTGCACCTACTTATTTTATTAGCAGATACTGTGCACGTTCTTATTTTATTAGCAGATACTGTGCACGTTCTTATTTTATTAGCAGATACTGTGCACGTACTAATTTTATCAGCAGATACTGTGCACGTACTTATTTTATTAGCAGATACTGTGCACGTACTTATTTTATTAGCAGATACTGTGCACGTTCTTATTTTATTAGCAGATACTGTGCACGTTCTTATTTTATTAGCAGATACTGTGCACGTACTAATTTTATCAGCAGATACTGTGCACGTACTTATTTTATTAGCAGATACTGTGCACGTACTTATTTTATTAGCAGATACTGTGCACGTTCTTATTTTATTAGCAGATACTGTGCACGTACTTATTTTATTAGCAGATACTGTGCGCGTACTTATTTTATTAGCAGATACTTTTTAAGTACTTATTTTATAAGCAGATACTGTGCACGTTCTTATTTTATTAGCAGATACTGTGCACGTTCTTATTTTATTAGCAGATACTGTGCACGTACTAATTTTATCAGCAGATACTGTGCACGTACTTATTTTATTAGCAGATACTGTGCACGTACTTATTTTATTAGCAGATACTGTGCACGTTCTTATTTTATTAGCAGATACTGTGCACGTACTTATTTTATTAGCAGATACTGTGCGCGTACTTATTTTATTAGCAGATACTTTTTAAGTACTTATTTTATAAGCAGATACTGTGCACGTTCTTATTTTATTAGCAGATACTGTGCACGTTCTTATTTTATTAGCAGATACTGTGCACGTACTAATTTTATCAGCAGATACTGTGCACGTACTTATTTTATTAGCAGATACTGTGCACGTACTTATTTTATCAGTGTACCGAAAGCACACTAATTTTATCAGTGGGGAAAACAGTGCCGATGATAATGTATATACCTGTATATGATCAATATAAAACAACGCTATTCTGCGATATCTGCATGTTGAACATAAACAAAACAATAACGTTGCTTGTGACTTACAGTGGCAAGCTTGTTGGTAAAATACTGTGATCATATTGTAGTTGGATAGTTCTCGGCTCGTAAACTATTGAGGCTTCTCCTGGTAAAATTCGAGTGCGTAATGGTGCTATTTCAGTTGATTTGTTTGTTTGTTTGTTTGTTTGGGTTTAACGGCCCATCGACGATTATGGTCATTTAGGGCCATGTTTTTTTTTCTTTCTCACAAACATGTGAGTAGCGAAGATAAAATCAGATAAAAAGGTTCATTTTTAAAAGCATTCGCATTGTATATGTAGATATTTAAATAAAAAGGGTGTTAAAATAATAAGAGAACGAATATATGATATGGACTTTGTGATATATATAACGTCAAAAGGGTTAGTAGGGTTAAAAGACATCAGAGTCTATAGAATAGACCGATGTCTTTCAAATAGTTAAATAATTCCTTTCAGTCCACGGAACTGAAAAGAGTTTTCATATCCGTATTTCGAAAGTTATCACGAATGTGTTTAAAATCGGAACATTTTATTTAAAAATGTTCCACTGTAAATGGAGTGTCACATGCGTGGCATGAAGGTGGATCTTCTCGTTTTAAAGGTACGAATGAGTAGGATATGTGTGCCCAGTACAGAGCCGAGCGAGGACAACTTTCTCTCTACGATCTTTCCGACTGGGAATAGTTGTTTTAAGTTTCGGTTGAACTTTAAAAAATTGTTGCTGGTCTTAAGAGACCAACGTTGCTGCCATTCATTTTGAATGGCTGTACGAATAATAGGTTTAAAATATGTATATGGTAGTTTGATATTTGTTTGTTGGATATTTAATGGATTTTTTGCTTCCCTGTCAACAAATTCGTTGCCTTTAATTCCGATATGGCTCGGAATCTATAGTAAAGTTATTTTAGACCATTTTAAGATACGAGATATTCGAAGAGCGAGGTTTTGTACGAGTGTGTTTTAGGATCTCCTAACTGTAAACAACGTAGGACAGATAGAGAGTCTGAACAACTGATTGGTGCTATTTCAGTTGAACTTTCTTTGATATTTAGATGTGTACCATGTGTATTTACATCTATTAATAAATAACCATAACGACTAGATTTTGTTTTAAGGTATGCATCTATAAAATATGCAGTTTGTCTTGGAAATATCTATCTTCCTAGCGTTGTTAAAATTCACTGTTTAGTTAAACGTAATTTGCCATTCTTTTTGATCAATATTGTTTGTTTTATTATGATTATCATAATTTATCAACAAAGTCCGGATAGATTAAACAATTTCATATTCAACACAATTTTATATTGCTTTTTAACTGTGGAAAATGGCATTTCCACATATTCCCAAAATTTTGTTTCCAGGAGATCAATCCAGATAGATATAAAGGTCCCGTATTAGCGGCCATTGAATGCTATGATGTTATACCAGAAGAAAAAAGAGCGAGTGCCTTGGTACTCGATGTGGCTGCTGGAACAGGATTCCTCGGCAAAGAGGTAGATACATCATAATATGACGTAATATAATTTAACACTCCGTTGACTTTGTAAAGATTAAAATATAAACGAAAGGCTTCAGAAATCTGCATGCATTGGATCCGTCGACCGAAATGTTAGAGAAGGCCAGAGCTAAGAATGTCTACGAGAAATTCATCAATGAGTTCATATCAGAGGAGCAGCTCCAAATAGATGCTGGTACGAACAACGAAAAGGACACAGTCATTATAACGTTAAAAATATAAGCCTTTTCTGTGACTAGGTTAACTTTCAATCTTTTAATGACAGTTATATACATTAACACGAATCACGTGTGTGACTTGGGTGTCCAGATTTTTAAGTATTAAGGAGAGACGTTTAGTATATGATAAATAGGTAAGAGTATTAATAGTTTTGTCAATAACGTATACATTTTAACATTAAGAGGACAAAGAAGAAATAATCCTGATTTCGATCACAAGACATTGTCAACAAATCTGTGCTCCCTAGGCATACTTTACCTACGTCCGACTGCTAATCTAAATTGTGTTTACATATTCAAAATGTTGAAAAAGTGATTTTGTGGGTGGCAACTTTTTTGTATTGCCACCCACATTTTATTACTACCAGTAAGTGTTACTAGTTTATTAGTTTTTCATATTTCAGAATCTTTCCCTGTTGTTTTTTCGAACAGATTTGTTACTGAGGTTAGGGTCAAACCACCGTTAAGATCCGTTAATGGCATTATATATCATAAAGAAGTACCGGAACTCATTTTTGGTATTTGTAAACTTTGAATAAATCTCATAATTGATTTTTAAGGCTCCTAAATATCAATTTTGTTTATTTATTTATTTACGGAATTATCATTATTTATTTTTGTCCCTACCATGAAGTCTAAAATCATATGAAATCCGTAAAGAATAGAAAAAAGACAAACTGATATAATCTATATCGATCAATTGCACTGATGAATTCTATATTTTCGTTTCTTTCCTTGCCTGTATATACGCGCTTGTTTGTGTGTAAAACACAATTATATCGTTGATTAAACTACTAAACAATTCCTTGCTCGCAGATACCTATGACATTGTGGTATCATCTGGAGGAATGGGTCAAGGTCACATTCCGGCAGGAGCATTATTGGAAATGTTAAGACTCACCCGAAAAGGTAATGACTTTCTTACTCGTAAACTATTAAGAATCAAAGAAGGACGTACTCATACTGTCCTTTTTTCCCGCTAACATTGTTTATCTCACGGGAATCGTCCTTTCCAACGACTAACATTGTAGACTATGCACAGTATGAGCGTCGGTCCAGAGTACCCTTTTTCCGCTAACATTTATTTTCAAAATTATATCACATATATATTTTGAGGAATTATTCCAATTATTGTCTGTTTAATGTTGCACAATCATGCATATGACCCTACCATACGTCGATGAACTCCGATCCAAACAATCGAACAACGGAGCAGTTATCCATTTAAATTATTTTGATTTAGTTTGTCGTTGGAAAGGATGATTCCCGTGAGATAAACAATGTTAGCGAAAAAAAGGAGAGTATGAGTATACCTGACGTGTCGTTGTTTCGAACCAGCTAAACCTTAAAAAGATGGTAAAAAACAACGTACGCAATACAGTCGACGTCTCGAAAGTCTCCAGTCAACATGAAAATGAGTAATATTTTGTAAGCGATATATTATTTGTGTGGCTATTTTCCCTATTGCATTCCAGCCAATTAATGTTGTCGTAAGCTCATTTGAGATATTTCTCATGCTCCTCTTAGTTACTCTGAATGTCAGAAACATATATATGTGTCCTGTTTTTATCTGAACTGTAATAGTTGGTGCCATTATGACGCATGTCGTGTCCGTTGACCTCTTCGGATGCATTGTTAGTCGTTTTTGTTCCTTTTTATGTGTTGCTGGTGTGGTAGCCTGGGATTACGATGGGAAACACAACATATTAGTAAAATAACTGACTTCTGGTCCGATATTCTAAGGCAGTTAACGCGGTTTTCATTTTGATTTGGTGTCTGCTCACTCCTGTTATCGTTTTATTCTATCCACACTTAATTTTGTTCTTTACTCCCCCAGCCCTCTCTTGTGCGTATTGGCTTTTATAGGTATATTTTTTATATCTTTTATTCACAGGTGGGTACATTATCTTGTCAATGAGAGAAGAATACTTGAGAGATCCAGAATATGACGGTGTATTGGAAGTCTTGATTGAAAGTATGGAGAAAAAGGGAAAATGGATTATAATAAAGAAAAGCGTGATTCCTAATTATTATGTAGAAAAAGAGGGAATTGTTTTTGTGTTTAAGAAAACATAACTTGTACAAGGAAACTTTTCCTAATTTTGTTTGATATGTAATTATATGATAAAAGTGTAAACTGTAAATAATTTGTTGATATTGAGCAGTCTCATTTGGTTGGGAAGATCACTACAAATTCAACTTGCAATCAGAGTAATTCTTTTTTGTTCAGCAATTGGAAAGCTACAACGACCATCAGCTTTAATTTGGTTTCGTTTTATTTCGTGTAACGTCCTGTTAACAGCTAAGGTCTTTAAAGGACGTGTCTCCATGTGTGTTATGTATGTGTGCATGTGCGTATGTGTGCTGGAGACATGGTATGTTGATGTAATGGCCTTCTTATAATAGCGCGATCTTTATAGTGCAATCTCACTGAAATACTATGCCTAAGGCACCCAGCGCAGCATTTCGCCCGGTTACATTATTTTGTTTAACCATCCTACACAACAAGTAACCACTCTGCTTGGCTAATCGATTTCATTGCAAGAACACAGCTGGGTCAAGGGGACATAACCCTTTAACCCAGTAAATTACAACAGAAAAGTACAGGGAATAATCCCCAGCCCAACAAGGAGGTTACTGGAGGGTTTTAGGAATGAAGCATGGTTGAAAGAAAATTAAACGGAATGAGAATAAAATTGCCGCAACACTGCAAACTTATTGCACACATCGACTTCTGTGTAGCGAAGATAGGCATCACATACCAAGTTCTTCAATAATTCCTTCTGGCATTCCTACCGACATACACCAAGTGGCACCACCCCTACGGAATGAGTGGCCTGTGATCAGCGTAGTGATCTGCTGATAATGAAAGATGCTATTTACTCTGCTAATAAACGCTTGGTAGGTCAAAAATGGGTAACACAAAAATGGGTAACTGGCCTCAGCGCCAACTGAAACATGCCACTGCAATAATGCCTTCACTGCGGTGCTTGGACACAACATATCACATATAATACAAAATGTAGTAGGCATGACAACACATAATTGCTTCTCCCGGAGTTGGACAGTTTTTGTCTACAACAACTCTATAATATACCCCTGTCTGTGGTATAACACATCACTCACACAAATATCTCGGTGCTGTACATATTCCTCAAAATGAAGGAAGTTCCCTGATCGTAATAAACCGAAAAATCCCATGAGACATGCTACCCATATACACAGATCTACTTGGTCTTCCATATAGAGGCCCATCCTAATTGCCCTTAACAACTCTGGCGTAATTACAGGTGCCCCCGTTTGGGCATCACCAACGGTTCTCTTAACACCATTCAAAACGTTTTTGACGCGCCAGTTGTTTGATACAGGATCAGTATAGCCCTTTGCTTTATGAATATGTTTGATAATATTTAAGTAATTCACAATAGTACAGTATTTAAACTTTTTGTGATCTGTCAGATAGGCTTTATACAAGCACATATTGTCAGGTGTTGTTGGAGCTACTGCCAGTCCACTTAGCTCACAAAATGTCTCATAGCACTGAAGTTGTACACCAGAAGTCCGCACAGTTCCATCCGCCCAACCACGCTCCTGGTACTTGGCCACACTGTTAGCCAGGGTTGACCGCAGCACTGCCCCACCTAGAATGTATAAATAACCATGACATATGGCTACTCAGTTCATTCATGGTTAAAGTAATCTGTCCAGCAGTATATACAGGATGTAATGACCCCAATTTTGTTAACATCTGTGGCGTATGTAGGCGTTATATGGATCAGCTAATATATTGTTCCTCCCTTCCACATGCACTGCCTTTACCGACAAATTATGGGTGGCTTCCATCCAAAACAATTGCCTCAGTAGGCTCATTACATATGGGTATTTACAAATACCTTTATTGATTATAGAGTTGGCAGTCATATTGTCTGTAAACACAATCACGTGGTTATTTTGTAAGTCCCGGTGCCTCCTATACAAGGCTAAAATCAGCATCACAGTCTCTTTAATGTTAATATGCTGATCTGCCACGCTGGGTAGATCAATAGGCCAATTGATATACATATAGTCTTCATCATAATAGGCCCCACCAACGGTAGTACAGGCGTCGGACATTAGACTTGTAATCGGTTTACTGTCTATAAAATGCACAGTTCCATCAAACACATTTGTAAAAGAAATCCACTAATCTAAATCCTCGAAAACGTCTGTAGATAGTAAAACGTTGTGGTTACTGCCAATAATTCCATGTCTCAAGTCCAATATACGCCGTAAAAAAGTACGCCTACCTTTGATTACCTGGCAGCCCCAATTAAGCTTTCCTATTAGTGACTCTAGCTGGGCTCTACTAGCCCTATGTCGACCTCTGACATCACACAATAGTTTAAAAAATTCTGCAAGTTTCTCATTTGGCAAACTTAATGTCAGCTGTGCTGTGTCAATCAACAACCCTCCTACAAAAACAAGACGCCGAGATGGACCTTCTAGCTTTGAAAAATTCATGTAAAACCCAGTCTGCGTAACAACTGTTAAAGGCGGAACAATGCCTTGGTACATTGATCATAGCTTTGTTCAATAATGAGGAAACCATCCAGGTAGGAAATAACACAAAAATTGTAACTTACTTTCATAATTCTACACACAGCGCTACTTAACCGCTGGAAAATACTTGGACTCTTTGCAGCCCCGAAAGGTAGCTTGGTATCACAAAAAAATGGTCTTCTGTTGCACCTTTAAACCGCTAATGCAGTCCTGTATACTCATAATCTTAAGGGTGAACTTTCACGGATCGATATGCCTTAGATAAATCAACTTTAGCTAGAAAATCACCTGGCTTAATAATATTACAGGCTTCACGAAGATCCATGTATTTACACGAGCTACTTACAACATATGAATTAAGACTTTCTCCTGTAGGTTGACTAGCATCATGGATTAATCTCACAGAACCATCACTCTTGGGCGCCGCTTCTAATGCGCTAACTAATTTCGGCGGTGTATCACATTTAACATAGTTACCATGAATACATTCAATATCTAATTGTTTCTCAACTGCCTCTCTATTCTCAAAAGCTGACTTATAATTGGCACAAATAATATTCTTATTAACATTCCCCCCGGGTAATGTGTCCATAATTTTGAAACCCTGCTGCACCCCTTGGATAATATAATCATAGTCACTCTCCGTTTGAGGGAGCAACTCTAACCAAGTTTCCACATTTAAACAGCCTGTTGGAGGTTGTCCTTTTGCCGAGTCTGACGATCCCGATCGCGGGCATTCCTGCTCTGGCCGTTTGGACGTCCTCCTGGAGAGACGTTAAATCCGGAATGCTGTTTCGCATTGTGATTGTTTGAGTAACACAACGCGCAATGATGTGACATACGACAGTCCATACGTGCGCACTCACCAGTGTTAAACCGACGACGAATAGTACGACCGTCAGGTAGGAGAGGACCTTTTCCTTTCTCTGCTGAGTACCCTGGCCGTGCTCCACTACTAGTGTCCCTTATCTCGGTCATTGCCTTTGCTGTTACAGAGTCGGGTTTTTGGATCAAATTGAACTCGCGCAGATTTGGTAAAAATGACCCCGATCGAAAATTCTCCTGAACTTGGCGATCACGATATTCCATATCATACAATAACACACTGTGCCAAACATTGTTTGCCGCGAGACGAAATACTGACTGTGAGTAGGACAAATAGTCTGCATGAGCATCCTGTGTAATGTCACCTGTCTTTATCATATCTTGGAGGATTTGTATACTCGCGTAGCCGTACTGTTCTATAGTTACATCCCCAAATGTCATTTTCTTTTCACTTCCCAATTGTAACTTGGTCTCGTTTCCAAGTTCATAAGTGTTCTGAGTTTCAATCAACGATAAGGGATTGAGCGACACAAAGTCAACATTTTTTCTGGCCTTTTTCTTACCACGTACCGTGGCCGGAGCTTGTGGAGGTGTAAATGGATCCGGAGGGGGAGCTACGTCCCCCGCGCGGGAGCACAAGGGCGTTGACTCGTGTCTCGGTCTTATTCTCGCCCGCTCAAAGCTTGTTCTAACGCTTCATACTTTGATTCAAGTTCCTTTATCTGCCTTTGGATGAGGTCAGAACCGCTGGGCGATAGGATTGTAGATATCTGCATCATGTGTGCGTCCCCTTCGTGCTGCATCCCGATTGTTTCTTCAGTCACTGGACCCGATTCTGAAGTGTCCGTGTCGTCTCTAGCATGCACTGACGACAGTATTTGCGACAGCCTATTTCCTGCAGTCGTCCTCGTGGTCTCCGCATCTCAGCAAAAAAGATAAATTGCCATTGGTCAGGCTTGCTAACGCGCCATGTGCTCAATGCATAAACTGTGACGTCACAACAAAGTGTGTAGCACCAAATCTGCAGTCATCACTAGGGGTCCCAAAAATTGCAATGGATGCAGCAGAATTTTTTTAGTCGCCTTCGTGTCCCCTTGTAGAGGGTACAAACCCAAACCCCCATATCTGAAGGGGGTTTCCCATTAGTCGCCTCCTTCGAAACATTCGTTGGGTAACAACAGGTTTATTCTTTCTCGATCCCCGATCTGCAGGGGTGACCATCAGCTTTAGGTTATGACGTGACATTACATTCATAACTATTTCATTTAATATTAAATAGTTTCCTTTTTTATCTGCAAAATAAATGGTTTATTTTACTCAGGTTATCTCCCTTACTGGGAATTACATTTTGGGAAAGAGTTATCTTCCCCTTTCCTCAGCATCGTCTCTACGACACTGGATCAGGCAAGTGCAAAAGATACCTCTGTTAAATCTGTTTAAAAAATCTTTTCTCCCGCCCTCCCTTCCCAGAGTATGAAAGAAGATACTGCTGCGGGTTTCTTTCGTTTCAGTTTGTGTTAGTAACATGTTGCTGAACTTGTGGAGGACGGAACAATTCCTGTTTTCTGTCACGGCCGTAGTCAAGATAGCAAGTCATTCCATGTTGGGCCTCGCGCGGCACATCCAATCAGTTTACCTTAAGATGCACTTTATCGCCGTTTCCGGGGTTTAGTGCACATCAATTATATTTCATAATATTCGGAATTGATGAAAGTGAAACAATGACTTATATATAAATAAATATAAACTTTATTTATTTTACAACAATTATGAAACAAGTTATGTCAACTTATATTAATCACTCTTGTTGGCCCGGATGCTAGCGCGCGGGGGGTCTTAGTGTGGGAGGAAACCGGAGTACCCGGAAAAACCCCACGTGGTCGGGCAGGTGACCCATACCTTTTCACGTCCGATCTGGGAATCGAACCCCGGCCGGTTAGGTGAAAGGCAAGTGCGCTATCCACTGCACCACCCGACCACCCTATATATATGTTCACAGATTGTGTGACTTTGAACAATTGATGCTTGTATGGAGTGGTGTGGCTCCACAAGTGGTGTTTGAATGTATGGAGTGGTGTGGCTCCACAACTGGTGTTTGAATGTATGGAGTGGTGTGGCTCCACACGTGGTGTTTGACTTGTGTGTTAGGATAATAAAACATTGATGGTGTCTGCCCGTGGCGACACTCACAATTTCAAATATTATTAAACATAAAATATTTCAATTACAGCCGTGGCCACAAAATATGCCATAATTAAATAAATTTCAGAAATGTATGTGATGTGTATGTTACTTTTTCTGTAATAAATGACGTATAATGACAAGACATATTGTAAGGATGCAGAAAATTAAAAGAAGAAACAAACGTTAACGTCGACACTGTATTAGACATTCAAATGCATAGTGATCTACATTTACATGGTTGCTATGCACCTGATGGTCTCATACGGAGAAAACGATTTTGTGCAAAATGTGTCTTCTTTTGTCAATATCTCATTTACATGTAAATGTAAAGTTCAACAAATAAAAAAAAGGAAAATGTATATTGTAGCGCCATAATGAGAGGGAGATAACTATCATTCAAAGAATCTATTCATTTTCGGTTTCGATATCTTCATAAAACCTTTGTCTTTTCCCACTTTGAATATCATTTTCCGAAAGTATTTTCAAAACGAGAAATACAGGAAATTTCATTTCCCCAAAAAAGTCTACATAGCTACACCTAGATACAGGTTATGACTTCCTTAATGAAAGGGATAAGGGTCTCTATGTAAATCTTCTATTTGTTCAACTGGTTCGCCCGTTGTCAGTATAATGTGACCCGGTGTGGTGTCCTGCTGGGTGTCTTCGGCAGTATGTTTCAATGAGGTAGCACTATACGCATGCAACTTGCACACAGGGGAGGCCGTCCTTAAATGCCCATAGCTGTTGATAGGACGTTACACAATACTAAACCAAACTATTCCAAACCTTGATGTTATCCACTCACAAATTGCTGCCTTGTTATAAGCGCTCATACATATCTCAAAATTATACAACGTGTCCCCAATAACGACAGGCTGAGTGAGGTGTTTTGATTGGATGGGCAATACGCACGGAGCTATACTGTGCACATATCACTCATTCTCAACGGCGCATTTGGACAGAGAGGTTGTTTCACTTTTCATATTACCCGGGTAAGTCTTTACTTGTATTGTAATACCTCACATACTTACAGTGTACATGAAAACTGTCAATTTAAAGAGTTAATAGTCAAGTGTATAATCATGATGTTTCAGCCAATTCCACTATGACTGGATATGTCTGTGTATTAAGCTCTGACGTTTAAAATAGAGATTAACAACAACGAAAGAAATGCTAGGGATAATCCATTTCTTTTACATATTTTCTTTCGGTAATCGGTTACAAGTTTCTTCGGTAAAATGAATGATATTTTACTAAATGGAATTTTCTTAGAAATCATGGTACGTAGAATATATTTCATCCATGCCCAATTGTTATGCATCGAGTTTTACCGAATCAGGGCACGGAATCTCTTTACATCAACTTTTATCAAAAAACTATTTGTAAACACAAAATATCAGGACATATCGATTGACTAGAATATGTAACATCCGTTGTTTTCAGTATAGAATTGTACACATAATTATATACGCTTTTAACGATAGTAGCTACATGTAACAGAGGCCCGGTTAAGCATAGATAGGTCATAAACGTATTTCTATTAGGATCCTCATTCACAGATTCGCTTTGATGTGACAGAGTTGTTTTCTTAGAGGTAAGTAACGAGATCTATATCAGTACAACAGGTAAGCATTTGCCTAGATATATCACATGTGTACTCCTTTACGCCATTCTCTATGAAGTTGCCTTGATTTCAGAAGAGTTCACCAAAATTATGCTTGATGATTTTTAATGCACTTGTTGCAAACTTTGTCGATATGCCCTTTTGAGCAACCATATAAAGAATCCATTTTTTTATTGTGCACTCTGTTCACTTTTAAACTCGCTTTGAATCAGTTACAACACGTTGGTGTTTTTAAAGAAAGTTTCTATGGTTTGCTTGTCAGTTGTTTCTGTTTCGATTTCGGTATATTTGTAATTTATATACCTTTTTCATAGATATTTAATTTATTTCCATGTGAATGAAAACTTTCTAATGACTGACTCCATTAATTTTCTGGTTTTAATCAAAATGAGGTTTTAGAAATATATTTTTCATATGTTATACTTGCCACTTATGTAAAGAATAGTGAATTTATCATCTCTTCTTCTTGAAAACCTACATTGAATGAATGATTTCTAAACGAAATTGGTTAACGTCCAATGATGTTATGTTTGACATAGCTTACCAACGCAACATAGTCTCATTATTCAATTTTGGATTTTTTTTCTCTCTAAGAACTCAACATGAACGCAACCGAATCCTGTGACAAGATGGGAGTGAACTGCAAGATTAAAGACGTATGTACCCCTGGACGGACCAAGGAAGAGGTCATAGACAGCTACAACAATTGGGCGGATACATACGAACATGTAGGTCCACACGAGAGTAAACTGTTAACGTACATATAGCAGCGTTAATTTTGTTTAAAGTTGAAAGCGATAATTTATGATATTCATTGGTATGTCCTTGAAGTATTTACTGCAATTACTCTGGCTACATTTTAATGGAATAGCTTTTGACAAAGACGGTTTTAAAGCAAATTTGAACAGTTTAAATTTATAAGCACACCAATGACTATTTTTTTCTTCTAGACGGGTGCTTATAAGCAATTCAGACGTACAGAAACGGTAAAGTTTCCAGATAGAAATGTTCTTCACATGTTATAGCGAAACGTATATCCTCAAACACTCATACAAAACTTTATTCGTAGGATCTCAATCCAGACAGATTTAAAGGTCATGTATTGGCGGCCAACGAATGCTGTGACGTTATACCAGAAAAGAACAGACCGAGTGCCTTGGTACTGGATGTGGCTGCTGGAACAGGATTCCTTGGCAAAGAGGTAAATACAATCATATGACGTAAAGTATGTTCATTTGAAAGGTAAAAGAAGTTTTGTTGTGTTCTTTCGTTTTTGAGTTGACACTGTCACACGATAGCAAACGTGTGTTTGTCTATATTGTAGCTGCACCAAAAGGGCTTCAAAAATCTTCATGCATTGGATCCATCGACAGAAATGTTAGAGAAGGCCAGGGCTAAGAACGTCTATCAGAAGTTCATCATCAAGTTTATATCTGAGGAAGAGGAACTCCCAGTAAACGCTGGTACGTGCAAACCTATCCAGCGTAAATGCTGACATGAGTGGTGTCATATATCATAACTATCGTAATCTGTGTATTCCCTCCACTGTAATGTTAGTTTCTGTGTATTCCCTCCACTGTAATGGTAGTTTCTGTGTATTCCCTCCACTGTAATGGTATTTTCTGTGTATTCCTCCATTTCCATGTTAGTTTCTGTGTATTTCCTCCATTACCATGTTAGTTTCTGTGTATACCCTCCATTACCATGTTAGTTTCTGTGTATTCCTTCCAGTACCACGTTAGTTTCTGTGTATTCCCTCAGAATCATGTAAGCTTCTGTGTATTCCCTCGCATTACCATGTTAGTTTCTGTTTATTCCCTCCATTACCATGTTAGTTTCAACTGCTCCATTCAAATGCAGATAATTCAAGGTTAATACATATTTCAACCCCTGTAGGATATCAAAATAATTCGAATCAAAATTCATCAAATGTTATGAATGAGATTTTCTTACATGTATGTATGCTTCGCATCACTCTCAATTATAAATCAGCTAGTTATCATGCGATCCTTTTCTCCATACCAGAACTACCTTGCTTTTACTATCTTTCCTTGTTCTGTGATGTTTCAAAGAAAATTGTGAATTACTAAGTTTGTCGCGCATCATTTCTTCATCAAAACCTTTTTAACGCATTTTTAAGACAGAGAGGGCACCCATTACTATTAGTTTATCGATATTCAGTCAATTTATATGGCTAAAACAAATAAAATGTTATTTTCATTAGATATTTCAGACAATAAAAAACACTTCAACTTTAATTATCTATCTCACGAGTCCTTCCTCAAACATTTATCTGGATCTTCAACGATAACGAACAAAAAGCATGATAAGTAAATCCACAAGGCTATCCAAATTATTTTTCTAACTAGAGTCTCTCAGACATGAACCAAGGGATAAACTTGTCTTGAACCAAGAAAAATTTGCATTTTATTTCGAAAACACCCCATCAATATTTGTTATTCTAAAATATTCAAGAAAGGGCAGAACATGCACCATTCATACTTAGTGGTATCAATCAATTTAGGTGCCTTGCAAAAGAGAAAGGTTTGCGATGTACATTGCCATGGCAATATAGCATACTTTGAATGAACAAATTAAAAAGAAACAACTTTATTAAACTATTAAAAGATAATGTCTCCCCGTAAAATTTAGTATGACGAAGATTTTTTTTTTTTTTTATATCGCCATAGCATTTTTAGGATATAAGATTTAAAATTTATAATACTAATAAAATAACCAACAACGAGAGAATACCTAAGTGACATTTTTTTCATAACATATGTAAATAAGTAATTACACTTTTCAATGGCCAATGCGTGGGTCCATTGTCCGTTGGCACCTTCATGTAACCTTGACTGTGGCGAGACCCTAAAATCGAAACAAACAAATATTTTTTTGATTATTTGTTAATTAATTCTCTGTTGCACTTTCTGTTGTTGTCATTTTATTAGAGCATGAGTGTAAAAGGAATAAGTAACGTTTTTTTCGCAGATACCTATGACATTGTTGTATCATCTGGAGGAATGGGTCAAGGTCACATTCCGGCAGGAGCATTATTGGAAATGTTAAGAATCACCCGAAAAGGTAAACCCATTTTACCTCGTAATCATAATGATGTCTAGTCATTCCATAAGACGTAATAAGAAATACTTTAAAAAACTGCATGGTGTTATCAGTTCAATGCACATAAAAGTATTCGTTTGTTTAAAATTTATTTAACTGTTAAATGTCTGCAGTTACCTTGCTTTATTGTGAATGCTGTGGACGACATTGTCACTATGAGTAGCCTATCATCTGGCATTTCGCCTCAAGGTGAAAGCAGACGTTCATCTAGGTTATTTCCTGTGCATGTTGTTAACATTTTCGATTTGATGTGCAGTCTAAAAATGAAAACAATAATTCAAACTCTACGTAGTTCACCTGATGAATTGCTTTGGTTTCTTTCACTTTCTGTTTTTCTATCGACTTTGAGTTGATGAATTGTCTATTTGTGTGTGTATAAACAAGGCAGTCCATTTGTATCAAAAGTTATAACAATGCCCCACGTCCGAGATCACGTGTTAAAACATTTAAACGACTTCTTCTAAATAACCTTTCAGATTTCTAAATCATATTATTTTGTAAATAGGAAATGAACGACTCCGTAATTCTTTCAATGCTACATGTTAAACAATACTTTAAATGACCTCTTCTGTCTGCTGGGATAAAGTTATTATATTATTAAAGCCTATATAAGCTCTCTCCATGGCTTTCATCATACTTTTGATAGTTGAAGACATTGAATACAATGTTTACATACATACACTATATTTCAACTCATCTCATGACACTTGGGTACATTGCGAGGTAATATACAATAATTAGGCTGGATTAATATTTTCATGTTTCTACAAAATTACATTATTTCATGTGATGCATGGACTAAAGATAAAAAATAAATAAAAAATATATACAAACTTTGCGATATTGATATTTAATATAGATAGTTGTAAAATTTGTGTCAAGACCAATTACTTATACCGTTATGGATATACACAGTATTCCAAATCGAATTAAATATATGTATATACGTCTTGACCATGAGCCACTACAATTTTGCTACGGCAACATTGTATGGTGATGAAGAAATGTACCAGGACTTATTTGAAGAAGATAAGCCTTGAGATGAGTTGGAAAATCAAATAGAAAATTAACTAAAAGAAAACAAAAAAACACCTAACTAATTTTATATAAGAACACAAGAAAGTCTCGAACACTCACTCATACACTCTAACACCACATATGTTTCTACTGGCATGGGTTTGTTAGTTTATTTAATGTAGTTTATATTTGTTTTAAATTATTGTGCAGTTGGGCATTAAATATGATAGTACAAATGATACAAATATATTGCATTTTGGTATTTTATAATAAATTATTAGTTTTTCAATAATTAAATAAATTATAACTATTGATTTACATTACTCCATCATACCTTAAATGTCATGACAACATACAGTCCCTGGACATTTGTTGCCCGGTGGTCAATAAACCTTGGCATATTATATATAAATATATATATATATATATTATCCACTATCTACAGAAATAATGAATTTATCTTACAGAATACAAACAATACATCAACCACATACAGCTTGTATATGTATCTATTTGAACAGTCCTGTAGCATTAATGTATTAATGCACACACTCAATCAATTGGTTGTTCTGTAAATCAGTATTATTAGTGTTACCATTTAGAATAGTATTTAAAGATATTGTATTATGGAAATCTACAGCATTTAATATAAGATCCTGCGTAAGAGTTTGTCGTTCATCATTCAAAAGAGAAATGGTTATAGTTTTCAATTAGACTACAAGGACAGTTTAGACTATTTTTCAAGTGATCTTTTAACAGATCTTAATTGACACATTAATATATTACTTTTTCGTGAACCAAAGTATTAAAATAAAGGTGTACATACATTTTGTTCATGATAAAATGCACTTAAGTTGCTATTTAGAGAATCAACTGGGCCTGGGTTAGTTTGTATGTCATTACAGAGGATCAACAGCAAAATCAGAACTTTAAAATAGAACATCAAATTTTTTGGAGTGTGAAACATGTGTACAAATTGGATAATTGGTATAAAGAAAATCTCTGTCATCCCGCTATATTTATACACACAAGCTGACATCTAGGGTTCAGTCTTACGAAGAAAACTCATTGTCGGCTGCAAGATGACAGATGTTTTCTGCCTCACTAGCACATAGGTATTGTAAAACACAATACACACATGTACGACTCGACACACACACACTAAAAATAACAAACACACTTACATTCATATTGTCTTCCTCACAGGTGGGTACATTATCTGGTCGATGCGGGAGGAATATCTGAGAGATCCGGAATACGACGGGATACTAGAGGTCTTGATTAATAACATGGAGGAATCAGGGAAATGGAGTAAAATAAAGAAAAGTGTGATCCCTAATTATTATGAAGAAAAAGAAGGTGCAGTGTTTGTGTTTAAGAACATATAAATGTACATGACCTCCAAGTCATATTGGATATATGTTAAAAAGGTCAATTTTACTCGATTCTGACAATATTAAGCATTTAAATATGATGGAGAAGAAAACCTATTGCGGAGAATGCATAATACAAATGTATTGTTTATTAAATGTGCAATTGGTGTACTTTTTGGCTCGCCAAGTCGGAGAGAAGTATAGTCACCCCGGCTTCGCGTCCCACTTCACTGAGGTTAAAGTTTTTGGGCAAGTTTTTTCCATGATATGTGTTGGATAATCATCATGATGATCATCATCATCACAATAAGTACATATGTACCTATCCCCTGGCCATGAACCTGTATAGACAACATTTCTATTTACAAAGTGTACAAAGAGTACTCTCCCTTGAGGTGTTGGGTCTAGCTAAATTTGCTACCAAATAACTACTGTACAAAATACATTCTTTGCTTTTTGAATGTGTCTTTTACTCTACGTTCTTTTTGATTATTTCATTAACATAAGATTTGATATGTGTTCACATCTCAATCTTTTCTAAAGACTTAAATAATGTAAAGACTACGATAATTAGACAGCCCAATCTTCTCCATCGCAAAGAGCTGCCTCTTACATCCCGTCCACACCTCCAACAAACAATAGTAACAATGAGATTAATAAACTCCTCAAAAGACTGGTCAACCTCATAACAAGGAGGCAAGTACACGAACATACCTGGCCTCCAGCACACATATGCATTTGCATGCTTACACAACACACATTGAGGCACGTCACGTCCTTAAATGACATTAGCTGCTAATAGGACGTTAAACATTGTATAATGAGAAGTTCTTTTTACACAACCAATACAATTTTCTATGTGACGTTCGATGACTTGTACGATATGTACACTGTCACTTTCATCAGACAAATGACATATATAAGGTTAATATTTGTGTTGTGTATTTCTGTTTTTCGATTGAGATTGTCACACTATGATTATTTTGTTAGCCTAATCTGTATAATAGCTGCACCAGAGAGGTTTCAGAAGTCTCCATGCGTTGGATCTATCGACAGAAATGTTAGAGAAGGCAAAGGCTAAGAACCTATTAGAAGTTCATCAACGAGTTCATATATGAGGAGTCGCTCCCAATAGATGATAGTACGTGCAAACCTAGCCATTGTAAATGATGACATAGAAAGTTTATATTTAATACGTATCGCAGCCTGTGTATTCCCAGCATTATCAGGGAGCCTGAAGTTGGTTCCTAGTTCCTGGTTCCTAGTTCCGTTTATGATAAACGGAACTAGGAACCAGACCATAGTTCCGTTTAACATAAACGGAACTGGGAACCATACCATAGTTCCATTTAACATAAACGGAACTGGGAACCAGACACTAGTTCCGTTTAAAATTGAAATAACACTATAATTCGAACTTCGACCAAAATACTAGGTCTGTTTCAGAAAAACAACATAACCAGCCTCTTATAAAATCGACTGGGAACTCAAATCCACAACCTTTCACAGGAAAATTATGACTACCATAGCCTCTATAAAGTAATTGGTCTTATACGGAACTGAGTGTCAGACTCCAGTTACGTTTTTCCTTAAACGGAACTGGGGTCTGGATCCCAGTTCCGTTTAACATAAACGGAACTAGGAACCAGACCCTAGTTCCGATTAAGATAAACGGAACTAGGAACCAGACCCTAGTTCCGTTTAACATAAACGAAACTGGGAACCAGACCGGGGTCCGTATAGTAAACGTATATGTTTTTTTTGTAATTCATTTCCTATCTACTTTACAAAACGGAAGGTCAAAGACCCGTATTTATATTTGAATCATGTACAGGAATCGAACCCACAACCTTTCACACGAAAATTAAGCCACGATAGCCTCTATAAAGTAATTGGTCTTATACGGAACTGAGTGTCAGACTGCAGTTACGTTTTTCCTTAAACGGAACTGGGATCCAGACCCTAGTTCCGTTTAACATAAACGGAACTGAGAACCAGACCGGGGTCCGTATAGTAAACTTATATGTTTTTTTGTGTAAATCATTCCCTATCTTTACTAAACGGAAGGTCAAAGGCCCGTATTTATATCTGTATCAAGTACAGGAATCGAACCCACAACCTTTCACACGAAAATTAAGACCACCGTAGCCTCTATAAAGTAATTGGTCGTATACGGAACTGAGTGCCAGACTCCAGTTACGTTTTTCCTTAAACGGAACTGGGCTCCAGACCCCAGTTCCGTTTAACATAAACGTTTAACATAAACGGAACTAGGAACCAGACCCTAGTTGCGTTTAACATAAACGGAACTGGGAACCAGACCCTAGTTCCGTATACTAAACGTACATTGTATATGTTTTTTTTTAAATTCTTTCACTGTCTACCTCGCATAATGCGATTTCTAAGGAGCATAGAAATATCCTTATCCACATCTTTAGTCACTTTTTTCATTACTAGAGTCAAAATGAGATCTAAAACTTACTTGTGAAACTTTCCAATTGAGCTTTACCACGTTTAATTATCCTACGCGTACTGGCTCTATCTTTTTTTTCTACATAGACAGCTCAGATATGATAAAAACCAAGTTTGAAATTACATGTTGGAACTAAGCTGAAGTACGAGCTTTGTTTATGGTCACCTTTATTTTAAAAAGTCACTGATTAGATAATAACCGTTACAATGAATCAATCATTCTGCTGGGCACGCGTTATATTGGCGTGGTTGCTTTGCGCCAATCCACGCTGCTTTATACACTTTCTATTATTAGCTTATTGTCTATTTCAATGGTTATTCGTATTTTCAGGTGTATTTTTTTATTTATTTTTTTACATTTTTCGGCATTTACATGTAGGGTGTAACAGTATATAGTTCACCAGGTCCCAATACTGAGGGAAACCAGTTGTAACTAGTGTAGGAATGTGCATGTCCGGTGGTGCAAGGAACTCTGGCAGGTGACAAAAAGAGTGAAATTGACTGTATTCTAATCGAAATTTACATCATACCTTTTGCATGAAACAGAAAGATTTTAGGAACATTTTCAACTTTATTAACGATCATCATTCAACTCTTTTACAAGCGCCTATATATATAGCTAACTGACCAGAATCAGGATGAAAGTGTGGATAAAAGTGATAATCTACAAGCTAAAAGCAAACAGGACACACATTTGTATACCATAAATAGCGGACAATTCAACAAAATTATACACAATGGCTTAATAATTCATTTTACATTTTACAATCACTTTGATCATGTCGAGAGTTGTCTTCCTTGAAACAAATTGGAAAATTTTACAACGGGATTAAATTTACACAATGACAGTTATCTCTAGTAAAAAATATCAGTGATTAAAATTAATAGAAATTATGATATCCAAAGTGACAATTTATTGTTCTTTCATGGAACTAAGTTACTCTTAGTCATGTTCACTTTGGACATCATTCCACAGCCCGCTTACGCATGGTGTATTTACATTTCAGACACTCAGAGGCTATCGCATGGTATGCCGTTCTCACGTGCACCCTCATACGCAATTTCATCGGGATCTTTATATGTTTACAAAACACTATTTCAACAGAGTCAGTGAACTGTATTTATAAAAACGATTGACTCGACAGAGCGTAACTCGCTCGACAGCGAAAGTCGCAACGACCTCGAGCTTGTTAAGTGGTGTAGGTACACAAAACGCTAAGTCCGCTTTCCGTGTGCTTCATATATGACCTTCTTAAAGTCGCCTGGTCTCCTGTCAGTGTCTTTCCGTGAGTCCGTTTCTGTCTTTGGAACGGAACCTTTATTTCTGAAGTACGTGTGATTACACATTTCCCAGCTAATTTTCGAAATCGGGTGTTGACATGTCATCGTCACGCACATGTATTATTGACTACAATTTACACTACGGTATTGAAATGTCCGATACGCAATACGGAAATGACGACACAAAAATACGGCAAGTAAAATATGTGTACTACGAAGGACGGGAAGTCCTGAATAACTTCATACACGATAAGAACGATTACTCGCTGTCATTACAGCATACAGACACAATCCCCAACAAAGAGTCGGTTTACGTTTGGCTGGAGCATAATAAGAAACTCCCAGTATCAGAAATAGGTACAAACTTTTGTTCCTTGTCATTAGTGGTGTCGAGACCAATCCAAGAACACAACTTCAGAACTCATATCCATGCGGTGTGTTCAAGAAAGTCTGTAGGTGAAACGTCACGAGTGGTGCCACGCAGCGTGCAATGAAGAGATCAGTGTATTGTATCACATGTGACAAATCAATTGATTGATTGATTGATTGATGGGGCTTTACGTCCTCGTTCCGGTTATAATCGAGCCTAGGACAATAACTTATGAATCGATTATTGTGAATGATACTAACTCCTTCAAAGAGGAGGGGAAGCGATAAACCACATTGATATAAACAAAGCCTACGTATCATAGTGGTGAACTTCCAAAGCAACAAAAACAAGTCTAGTGAAGTCGGAGTCTTATGCGATTTCACGTCAGCAGAAATAGTGATCGAGACGGAAACTTGGCTAGATGATTCTGTGTCATCTTTAGAGATCTTCCGAGAGTATCAATAGGGAATTTGAAGATTTCCAGAGGGAGTTTGACCAACTACCAGATAGTGATGTGGATGTGATATGGAACGCGTTTAAAGACAGATGACTGAGTCTAATCGACAAACACGTTCCATCAAAACTCACGTCATCAGCATATACCAATTCGTGTGCAAACAGTGGCATAAATCGCCTGAGTAGGAGGAAAGCAGTGGCCTACAAGAAAGCTCAGAGCACTAAGACAGAGAAGGATTGGAAAAGATATAGGAAATTGAAGGTCATCACCCAGCAAGAAACGAGGAAAGCACATGACATATACCTAGATGAAGTCATCAGCAACCAATACACGGA